CAGCAACAACAACAACAACAACAACAACAACAACAACAACAACAACAACAGGTTCGGCCTCTGGGGGCCCTCGCCAGGCGCGGGGAGCATCAAAAAACGACTCGGGATGAGAAACTGGTCCGGGGGAAATGGTCGAGATCTCTGAGGGCCGACGTCATGAAAAGATAAGATAATGACGGCGGGGGTCTGGGGCCCCCACCCGGGCCCACATCCGCTCAAGATCGGTTGGCAGCGCGCACAGGGGAGGGGGAGGGGGGAAGGCTTCTTGGAAGCAGGCTGCTTCTCAGAAGGCGCCGGCCTTACATCAATAGATACGGCCCGCGCCTTCCAAGGAGCAGCCTCCTTCTTTCGCGCGCACGCTAACATGGATCAGGGATACGTGGATGGGGCGCGTGGGCGCCAAATCACGCGGCACGGAAACGGGACCCGTCGCGAATCCACGCGCCCTCATCCATGTTTTCGTCTCCCCGATTCTTTGGAAGCCTTCCCCCCTCCCCCTACCCCCCACTGCGCGCGGCCGAATCGGCCCCCCAACCAGACTTCAGAGGCTCGGAGGAGGAGGAGGAGGAGGAGGAGAAGGCGGAGGAGGAGGAGGAGGAGGAGGAGGAGGAGGCGCGTGGCGCGTGGCCGCATCGGTCCCCCGACCCCTCCCAGGGACCGCGCCGACCCCGCCCTCCGCGGCGGCTCTGCAAGTCTGGCCGCGGCGACGGGCAGCCCCCCCCCGTGGGAGGCCCGAGCACTGCGCGGGCACGCGCCGGGGAGGGCCGCCGCGGCCTCGCCCGGCCCTCCCTCGGAACCGGCAAACCCGGACATCCGACGGCGCGACCTCTGTCGCTGCTCGGCCCCAGAGCCCAGACCCCCTCGAGTGGGGAAAAAAAGTCACGGCGGGAGGCTTGTCGCTATACTTTCGGCCCGTGGGGGCCCTTGCCGGGCCTCGGGACCGCCCAGAGACGACTCGGGATGATCAGCCGGTCCCGGTGAACGGGTCCGGACCTCTGGGGGTCGCGTCGTGAGAAAATCATGACGTCGGGGGTCTGGGTTGTCATGATTACCCAAGAAAGGACCCCTAATCCTTTGGGAGGGGACCCAAGTTAAGAGGGCCAAACACATTAGGGACGGGGGCCCGCTTCTGCAAACGTAGCGAACCAAACCGCCCAGACCGCCTGGTGCAAAGACGGGGACCTCAGTGAGGCCACGTCTTCACTGTGTCAGAAGGGTTATGACTACCTACCAGACCACCCCAACCCAACCCGAAGACCCGAATTTCGGGTTGGGGGGGGGTATGGGCTCCATATGTGTTTTTTCGATGTTCCCGGACCCCCCCCCCCACTGGAAATCGAGGGTAGATCTGAGCCTTCGGGTTGGGTTGGGGTGGTTTGGTGGGTGGTGAGGTTGGGGGTTCTTTTATTCTTGATGATGTCACTGCTCGGCCCCAGGTCCCGACCCATCTCCTGGGGGTATAGCTTCCCGGGATCCTACTCTTGAGGACCCCCCGGGGCCCGCTCACGGGCCCCGCGAGCCGATCAGGGACCCGGTCAGCGAGGACTCTCGGGGAAGCCAAACCCTGGCGCGCCCGGGAAGACTCCAGCCGCGGGTCGAGACCTTCTCCGTTTCCCGTCTCCTCCGGCCGAACTGTTTGAAGCCCTCGTTGGCAGTGCCCCTGTTGCAAGGGCCCCGAGCCGAGATCTGGAACATACCTACTGCCATCAGAAAAGAGACTCCGAAGCTATGCGCGGCTGCAGACTGCGAACTCCGTGGATCTGGCGCGTGGGCACCAGATCCACGGATCGGGGAAACTACCCCCCCAGAACATGAAGCCAATGCCGCCTCCTCCTCCTCCTCCTCCTCCTCCTCCTCCTCCTCCTCCTCCTCCTCCTCCTCCACCGGCTTCCCTTTGAAAACAGGACCCGCCGCCGATCTGCGCGCCTGGGCCCGTGCTCGCGTCTCCCCGATATCCTTCGAACCTGCGAGGCCGCTGCTTCTATGGAAGCAGAACTCGACGCTAACCCGCGCGCCATTGTCATCCATGCCTGCCCGGCGCTGGGCCTCGACCAGGGCTCGGGCTCGGGGCTCCACAGCTTGGGCTCGGGCTCAGGCTGGGGCCCTGGCTCGGGGATGGGCTCGGGCCTGGACCTGGGCTCGGGCCGAGGCCCGGGGTCGGGCCCGGGCTCGGGCCTGGGCTCGGGCTTGGGCTCGGGTTCGGGCTTGGGCGGCTCGGACCCCCCTTTTAATCTTAAACCGGGCACGTGTTTTATCATATGTTTCGTCCAAAGTCCCCCCGCAAGAAGACATGCCCGACCTAATCTGAATCCATGCTTGCGTTTCCTCGACCCTCCGAACCTGCGCGCCGCTGTACACCACGAACTCGTTGTAAGGCAGGCCCGGCAGCGACCCGTCCACGCAGCGCACGTCCGTGGGCAGCCCGAGCGGCACGTCGCAGTGGGGCACGACGGAGTCGCGCGACCCGTGGGCGAAGGAGCTCGGGTCCGGCCACGTCCTCAAAAGGGGGAGTTGGGGGGCAACGATACGCCCTGAGATCCTGGCGACTCAATTTTTTCGACCCGGGCGCTCTCGCTACATTTCGGGCCCAGGGACCCTCACAGATCGATCCGGCTCGAAAAATGGCGCACAAAGATCCAGTCTGGGGCTCTGGTGGTGATTTTTCGTGATGCTGCATCTTTTTTGCAACGTCGGATCTCAGGGTTGGGGGGGGCAACGATACGGGGGACTGGCATGGGGAGGGAAACATCGACCTGGAATCGGCGATGCATCGCCGATACATCGGTGATAGGCCCCCGATAGGGAAGCCGCATGTCCCGGGGCGGGGGAGCCGCATGTCCCGGGGCGGGGTGGGGCTATCAGACCCATATCGGCGATCATTGTGCGATTGCGTGTCGATGCATCCCCCCTATGCCAATCCCCACCCATCGTTGCCCCTGAATGTGGGGATGAGAGAAGAGCCCCGCGCGAGCTCAATTAGAGGAAAGTTTCCTGCCGCATGGGCGCCGTGAGTGGCGTTGGGAATGTTGCTCGGCACAGTGTTTGGCACTCCTTCGCCTTGCTTTGCATTGCGCGGCATTGCGTGGCATTGCTTGGCATTTTGTGGCATGGCTGTGCATTACGTTACATTGGTTGGCATTCCGTAGCGAGGCAGCCAGGAACCAGCACTAAGAAGCCAAAGAACCAAACCACGACCACCGAGGACCAAGGAACCAAGGAACCAAGGAGCCAGGGCCAAGCAACCAAGGAGCCCACGAGCCACGCATGGTGTCAGATTACGCCGTTCCGCAGTAACCTGGGATAAACCCACGGTTGAACTGGAACGGCACTGGGCATGTATAAGGTACGAAGCTGGGAACGTCGGAGGTCCCAGGAGCCAGGACCAGGAAACAGAGGAACCAGGACCAAAGAACAGAGGAACCAAAACAAAGGAACCGAGACCAAGCGGGCCTCCCGCGCGCGCCTGTCAAGATCTTTCGAGCGTGTTTGCGCGCGTGCTGTCGCAAGAACCCTTCTTGCACAAGAGAGGGACGAGCTGCACGCGCTCGCGCCGTCGCGCGCGCACGCCGAAGTCTTTCAAAAAAACGTGTGTTTCGTAACGAATTCCAAAAAGAGTGTCCCGAATGTATATATATATATACACACAAAATGCATACAAGACTGCATTGGCGCTTCGCGCCATGCGCCTTGTTCCGGACGCTTCTCGGAAAAGCAATAATAAGTCATCGCGTGCTTCAGCAGAGGGGGCGTCGAGACCACGAATGCAACCACGATCACGAGGACCACCACCTCCACCACCACCACCACCACCACAACCACCACCACGACGACGACGACGACGACAACGACGACGCCGCCGACGACAACGACGACGACGACGACGATGGGGCTCTCGTCTGAACTGCAGATGGGGAGCTAGTCTCTCGAGGGCCTATGGAAGCTCCCGATGGGACCAGAAGCGCTCAGAAACTTGGCCCTTCCTCCTCGTCGTCGTCGTCCTCCTCCTGCCCCTCCTGCTCCTCCTCTCGGGCAGGCCGCGGGAGCGAGCGCTCGGGGCGTCAGTAAGCGGGCTACGCAATAATGAGGCGGCAGCCCGCGAAGACAGGCCGAGACCTCCTGCTCCTCCGTAGGACGACGACGACGACGACGACGACGGCGGCGACGACAATTGGTCGCTTCCTGAATGCCTGGAGCGGTCCTGGACGCTTGTGGGGCTTCTGAGGTCCTTTCGAACCACCGTCCTGTGAACTACGGCCTTCAGTGTAAGAGAACTGCTCGAAACTTTATTTGAACGGCGTGGGCTCGCGTTTGAGCTCCTGGTGACTCTCCGGACGAGAGGACTCCTTTTGGGGCTGTCTTGGGCCGTCTTGGAGACCCCTTGGGTTGGCCTGGAACCCTCTTTTGTCCGTTTTGGGAGGTCGGGCCGGCCAGAGGCTTTTTCGGGGGCCCTCTTGGGACACTATTGGGGGCCTCCTGTGGCTCTCTTGGGGCTCTCTTGGGAGTTCTCGGGGCCCTATGGGGCCCCTCTTGGGCCGCCTTGGGCTTCTCTTGAACCGTCTTGGAGATCTTTTGGGCCGCCTTGGGCCGCTCATACAAGCCTCGGAGGCCGTCCTGGGGCGATCTTGAGAGTCCCTGGGGATGCCGTGGACGCTGCGAAAGCGGAAAAAGCTAATATCATCAAAAGCGTACGTTTCCTCTGGGAATGGGACGATTTTTGGCTCTTGGGGATCCCTTTTGGGGCCTCTTGGACCGTCTTAGGGGACCTCGTGGGCCGTCTTGAAACCCATAACCTCATGCCCGTGAGAATAAACACTAGGGGATAATAAAGTTCGGGGTTCAGGGAGAGATAATAAAAGTAGCCCAGCAGACCTCAGCATAATCTCGAAGTAAGAGATGATCAAGAGGAGACCAAGCCGAGCACGTTTTGAGACATCCTTGGCGTTTAGTTTTCATAGAAATATCCTCAACAATGGCTTATCTCGCTGGAATGGAGGAATCTA